CTTTTTTGTGCGGAACCTTGGCATCATTTTCCTAGACAATAATCTTTGCCTAATATATCCATCTCTCGATTCGTATCCCGTCACTTCAGTGCAAGCTTCAGTCATCACTTTTATGCCTCTCTCGACCGCCTGAGTGCTGTTTGGCCACTTGGGCACCACTAATGGTGTCTCAAGAATGTCATTAACCTGTAGATTTGACAGAGAAGCAATGTAAGGAGGCTCAGTCTTGAGTTCATTCCTCCAGTTAATCATGGAATGATAGTTTTTTGCTTGCCACTTTAGTTTCGGAGTCACCACCTTTCTCATGTTGACTACAGGAGGCACATCCTCATTCCCATCTCCATCTTTACCCTCCTCATCAGTATAGTTTAACAAATTCTCGTCAACAGCAGCATCAGGATCTGCCAGTGCATTCTTCCTTTTGCTGATTCTCCTCTCTAATTTTTCTTATCATTGAGACAGCTTTTTCTCTAACAGTCATGTCCTCATCTGCACACATACCAAGAAGAAGTTGATCTGTGTGGGCGAAGTATGCATTTCTCTGGACAGCCTTCTTCACTATCGTCTCCTCCTCACAATTCAGGTGTTTCATATATAGCAGGGACTGGAATACGTTCCTTGAGCCGTGTGTTACGTATGGGTGTATCTTGATGTAAAACCACATTGGAGCACTGAACTTTATTATTGTAATGACAATTCTTTTCAACTCATGGCTGGGTCTTGATGTTGCTACATACAGCCTGAGGATTCTACTCCATAAGGTGTTCCACCTTGACACACAGGGAGGACCTGGCTCAATAGCAGCCAAGTCATCTTCAACAACACCTGTGATAACTCCTTTACAAATCCTATACAGGTATTTCTGATCCCAGGACAGATCTTTCTCCACTTCATCATTAAACACAGGGAAATCAGGGAAACTGACTGGCTGGAAGGCGACAACTGGAAGCTCAGACAAAGACTCCTTGATCTGCTTTCCAATGGGACCACGCCAATGCTCAGGACCACTTGGTTTACCATCATAGTGATAAAAAACTGCGCGGAAAGGCAGCTCATTTCCGTGAAGCTGACATATGAAATAATGGAGCGGATGACCAAGTAACATTTCAAGATGATGAATGACTCCATTTTCTGATCCTACATTTACATTGGTTCCATCACAACCAACACACACAATGGGCTGCTGGGTTAGATTTTTCTCCACCAGAAACTCGTAAATAGTTTTGGCAATCTGCTTTCCGTGTCCAGTCTTGGGAGTCACATGTGTGAGATATTCATTGCCAGGCTCAACCATGAACTGCTTAACGGTAACTATTTGAATAATTTCAAGTGCGCCAACTTACCCAGGTCTCCCCTACATTACAGTACAGTAACACAACATTGAGAAATGAAATGAGAAAAGGCTGATAATCAATATAGACATAGCACCATACTCATCTGCAACAAGACAACTTAAATGAAATAAGAGATATGAAAAAAAAGTTGATAATCACTGAACAGAACATTGCACCGCCACAGCGGCTGTTTGGCTATTACTGTAGGTAAATTTAAAAATTTCAGTAGAAAATGCGGCAGACTAAACCTCGACATATCAGCTTCAAATTTGGCATGGAGTCTTAGATATGTATAAGGAACAATGCCTGAAGAGTGCAGCTTTGAGCAAAATTTCACTGCCCCCTAATGCCCATGGTCATGACCCTGAACTTGCCAGCACTTTGGAGGCTCGATTTGACTTTGTCAAAGTGTTGTTTTTGCTTCCCAACACTACATCAATTATGCAGCCAATGGACCAGAATGTGATCAGCAACTTCAAGAAGTTGTACATGAAGAAAATGTTCAGGAGGTGTTATCAGGCAACTTCCACTAATCCTGAACTAACACTGGCACAGTTCTGGAAGACACAATTCAACATCCTGGAGGCTGTAAAATTGATTGTGTCCTCATGTCAAGAAGTCTCCATTAGATCCCTCAATTCTGCATAGAAAGCACTGTGGCCATCAGCAGTCCGTGATTTTGAGGGATTTGAGGAAGAAGCAGAGTTGGACCAGGAGATTGTGTCCATTGGTCAGTCATTGGGCCTCAAAGTGGAGGAGGATGATGTGGAAGAGCTTGTGATGTCTCATGAGCAGGAACTTACTCCTGAAGACTTAAAGCAACTGGATGAGATGTTCGAGGCTGACAGTGGTGAGGAGGAAAGGGAAAGTGATGACCATATGTCTTCTTCAGACCTAAAACATGTTGTTTACCACTGGGAGATGATGAGGAAACTGGCTTCAAGGCACCCTGATGTGGAAACAACAGAACCTATTTTGTGTAGTGTTGAGGACAGAGTGGTCTCCTTCTTCAAAAATCAGTTAATGATGAGGAGAAATGCCTCACAAACAAAAATTGACAGTTTCTTCACTAAAAGGCAGTGGGAAAAAGATGCTACCCCTCAGCCTTCCACTTCAAAAATGAGAGAGGATTTTCCTGCTGGAGAATCTGTCAGTCCAGAGGTTCCTGACATTTTCATGGAAGGTGACTCACCTTCCAAGAAGCAGTAAAATGCTTCTCCTCCACCCCCACTTCCTGCTCTTCTCCCTTCTCCTCCACAAATTCACATCAGCATCATCAACCAGGAGCCTTCTACATACACACCACAAAGTAAGTGTACTTTACTGCATTTTTTTTTACTTTATGTAATTTTCGGTGAGCTGGAACCAATTACCCAAATCCCATTGAACAATGGTTTCGGTTAACGAAATTTTCGGTTAACGAACGACCATCTGGAACGAATTGTGTTTGTTAACCGAGGGACCACTGTACATTGATTTTTGGGTCATTTTCATCAAACCAGTCCTGGTGTTTTCTTCGATCTGGCCGAGGGTCTCTCTGCAGGTTCTTGTCATGACATTGTTTAGGAAACTCCATTCAGCACTGATGTTTGGGTTGTTTGTTGTCAAGTTAATAGTTATCTCATCCTTGAGCTGCTCTCTGAAAGCATGTTCTACCGCTGGATCCTCCAGACACTGTGTTAAAACATCTTGTGGAGGCTTGTTGCCTTTGCCGTTTTGGGGCAAAGTGAAGGGAGACTTTGGATCTGACAAGCCGATGATCTGTGTCACTGGTCTGAGTCACACCTTGCTCTGGTGATGAGGACATCTCGGCAATCTCTTTCTCTAACAATGATGTAGTCAATGAGATGCCAGTGTTTGGGTCGTGGGTGTTGCTACGAACCCTTGAACTTGTCGGCCTGCCTAAACAAGGTATTGGTGATAGTGAGGTTGTGTGCAGCACACTTGCTGAGGAGTAGTAGGCCATTGGGATTACACTTGCCTAGTCCATTTCTCCCTATGGTTCCCTGCCATCTCTTGCATTGAAATCACCAAGGAGCAAAACCTTATCGTCTCTGGGGATAGATGTTAGCACTCTGTCGAGGTCGGCAAAAAAGGCCTACTTGATGTCATCCCCTGCATCCAGTGTTGGGGTGTATGCACTGATGAAGAAGGCATGATGTGAGTGATTCAGTGGGACTCAGAGCGTCATGAGACACTCGTTGATCCCAACAGGCATTTCAGTTAGCCTGTGTAGGATGCGTTGGCGGATGCCAAAGCCAACTCCATAAATTTGGTTTCTCTCCCCAGCAGGCTTACCCTTAAGGAAGAAAATATAGTCAGACCCCCGTTCTGTGAGTCGAGATTCGTCTGGGAGCCGGGACTCACTAATGGCTGCTTTGCCGATGTTATACATAGCCAGTTCTTTTGCCACAAGGGTGGTTCTTCTTCTAGGATGCTCATTTGTGACAGTATCCAGAAGGGCCTTGAAATTCCATGCAACGGCCATAAGAGGTTGTACAGCTTGTTTTTGCTTACGTATGTGATTGTGATTATTTTTCAACCGCATAAGGATGACCTTACTGAGTACGGTTTCCCAGTCAAGTTGGTTGTTTTAGGCAGGCTATGTTCAGGGCCCCTTTTCTAGCCCCTCCCCATGTGGGGTGAGCAGAGTGGCTCCTCGAAAGGGCTGCTCAGCCGCACTGACAGGACCGAATTGCACTGCTGCTTAGATCCCAGTGCATAAATGACTATCTTATTTATGTTGCCCATGTGCAGAGTTGTGACTAGAGATTGCCAATAGTCATCTCTGCCTGTCCCTGTTACCACTCATCTGTCACCATAGGACGTTTGGGAGTTTAGGGATTTTGATAAATGATGACCTGGATGATGGCTGTATGCGAGTTGATTTATGTGGTGAGGCAGGAGCGCAGGCTGCAACCACACATCTTGGTTCTCCCTTTTCCTGATTGCAACAACTGGGCAGAGGGCGAGTTGCAGTGAACTGCCGATAGCCCAGTTTGTTGGGTTTCGCCTTAGCAGCCTATCTTGCATTGCCTTCATCTGCCGGTGTAGTCATTAGGTTCCCATGTTGGTCACCTCTTCCGCCTGTTCTGCCTTTGGGATCTTATTGGAGTTCTGTAAGCATGTCTGTTTGATGCAGGACTCCACTGCAGATTTTTCGTTTTTGGATTACTCCTGTAGACTTGTACCTACTAAGATTAATCCGCAAGGCAGTGGTTGGTAGGCACCTGGGCGTGTCCACATGCCAGTGGGCTTATCTCACACACACACACACACACACATAGGCTCACAGGCCAGCCCATCAGTCTTCATTATATTGAAGTCAGATTACAAATTATATCCTGTATCGTATTTTTTCTATTATTTAATATTTTATATTAGTAATGGTGAAACCTAGACCATAAGAGGCTGATCATACGAGAATATAATGAATTAATTAAAACAAACTTGAGCGCTTGACATAATTATCAAGAATGATGGAGGGATCCTACACAGGCCACTGACCTCTTTCCCTCGGCATGGCCACTTCTAGTGGGTGGCCAATAAGTAAATAAGGAAACACAATCCTTCATATTGAAGGCCTCTCACTCAAACCTGTTTTTTCTCTCTCATTGATATACAGTACATATATCTGGATGAAGGTAGTTGTATTTTTCTTTACAGTATGAAATGCTTCATGTGACACCTCCAATGAGTGCCCCTGATCCTCTACGCAGATGTGGTCCTCTGGTAGATTCTTCTGGTTTTCTCAATGTTAACAAAGAGACTCTTCAGCATGTAGATTTTCCAAACATATTTGGCATTGGAGATTGCACAAATGTACCAACCTCCAAAACTGCTGCAGCTGTAGGTATGTATTGTGTGTTGCTAATACAGATTTACAGTTTTTAGATTGATAGCTGACTTAATCAGAAATTGGTACACTTCTTCCATCACAGCCATTACCCTTATTAAGGGTAATAGCTATGTCAAAGGGTTGAGAGGACATTGAATTTTGGTGCTACAACAGTTTATGCATCACAGACATCCTTTATCATCATTCTGTACGTTGCTTTTATAACAAGCCTCAGCCCAGCCAACTCCCTGGAATCGTAGTACAGTTTCCTTTTTTTTTTTTAAGCAAGGTGCATTATTTTTCTAACTTACATTGTACAGGGTATTGTGATTTTATATATACAGTGACCCCTCGGTTAACGAACTCAATCCGTTCCAGAAGGTCGTTCGTTAACCGAAAAGTTCGTTAACCGAAACCATTGTTTCAATGGGTTTTTGGGTAATTGGTTCCAGCTCACCGAAAATTTCCTAAATTCAACAAAAATGGTAGAAAAGTTCACTTATTTTGAGGTGTGTATGTAGAAGGCTCCTGGATGATGATGATGATGATGGGGGTGGAGGAGAAGGAAGAAGAGAAGGCATTGGGGAAGAAGAGAAGGCATTGGGGTGGAAGAGAAGTCATCCCATGGCACCATTTCACCCATAAAATTTTAGTTCTCTTGGTGTATTTCAAGATTATTTTCTTTAAATCAACACTGCACTGCATTATATATTGTCAATATGTAAAATATATTTCAAAATGACCAATAATTTGCTTGGAAACACAGAAAAAAGCGTTTAGTTGAAGAGAGTCTCAAGCAAGATGTTACCTCCAGTGAAAACAGAGAGACTAACGCCTGTTTGCTGTGTTAAGAGGCTGGATGCTGCGCTTTAAACTAGTCACTTTACCTTCAATTATGTTCAATAATTGTTAAAATGACTAAAAAATTGAATATTAAACTTTTAAAATTATTGAATAGTATAAACTTCTTGATATTTACTAAAATAGTTAGGAATTTAAGCCCTAGAACCGATTAATGTATTGGCGGACTGATACTAAAGCTGGTTGCCCGGCCAGTGCAAGCGAAAACATGTTGAGGTCGGTTCGTAAGAAATTCGTTAACCGAATTTTTGTTCGTTAACCGAATTGAAGATCCTTATGGAAGGCAGTTCGTTAACCGAAATTTCGTTAACCGAGGCGTTCGTTAAACGAGGGGTCACTGTATTTGTGTCCATGTATTTTGCCCACAGTACATATCATAAAAACAGCACAAATCTGCAAAACAAGATACTGGTGATCTGACAAAAGAGAATGGCGTTCAAGGTGACGGAGAAAATGAGAGTTCATGATAGTTTCTAAAATCTTAGAGAGGGATGAAGTTAGGGCAAGGGGGCGATAGTTAGAGGGATTAGAATGGTCACCCTTCTTCTGGAGGGGCTGAACCAAGGCATGCTTCCAGGAAGAAGGAAAAAATTGGGTTTTGAGGCAGAGACAAGTGGAGATTATAGGAAAGTGCATAGGCTCAGTAGGAGGTGTCGGGGTAGGAGAAATAGAGTTGGAATCATCTAAAGTGGAATTAGAGGAGAATATGGTGCCAAAGAGATTGGATTTGCCAGGGAGAGAGTTGGTTGTAGAGTTATCAGGTCGGAAGAGAGGAGGAAAAGAAGAAGTGCAGAAGTTATTACAGATGTTTTTGATTAAGGACCAGAAGGATTTACTAGAGGAACTAGTCAGAACAGCGGTCTTTCTTTTTAAGAAATTCCGCTTGTCCCTACGAAGAATAGCCTTACAACGATTACTAGAAGTAATGAAAGAGGAGTGGTTACTAGGAGAAGGAGATAGTTTCATAGCTCGATATGCCCTATCTCTCTCCCTGCATTCAAGGGAGCAGGTAGAAGATGGGATAAATGCACTCTTACCACCCTGTATAACCCCAGCAATGCTGTCAGCACATACCGAGGCATCCTGAGTGGAAAAGCAACATTCATCCCAAGGAAAGTCTGTGAATAATTTTGCAAGGATTGCCAGTTTGTCCTCCGATAGTGCCATAGTTGACATTTAGGGGGGAGGTGGTCGTACCCAGTTTGATATAATAGAAATAAGATTGTGATCAGAAGACCCTAAGGGGGCAGAAATTGAGTATGAATAGTTAAGGGGGTTAGAGGTAAAACAAAGATTAAGAATGTTAGCAAGTTGATAGTGTCGATCAGGAACTCGTGTAGGGTGTTTGATTATTTGTTCCAGATCATTAAGTGAGGAAAAAGAGTGTGCCTCAGCTCCACCTGGGTCATCCCTTGCAGAGCCAAGCCACTCTCTGTGATATACATTGAAATCCCATAGGTAGAGGATCTCGGTGTTAGGGTTTGTGGATAGCAGTGACTCGTGGCAAGAAGTGAGATATTCAAAGAGTTCCAAATAGCTGGTAGAGTTGGGAGAACAGTATAGGAAACAAAGAAAAATAGTCACAGTTGGTAGTGATATTTTGAGCCAGATGACATCATAAAGGTAAGATTCAAGATCCGTGAGTTGAGCTATAGGTGTACGTGTGTTGCAGTAGGCGCATACACCTCCCTTAGAACAGAAGGAGGTATAAAGGTTGTAATTGGAGACTTGAAAAGGTTTGGTCAGTTGAAGTTCAGATAGTAGTAAGAGGTCGGAGGAAGAGGTTAATAGGTGGTGCTCCACAGAATGAAAATTGGATCTCAGGCCGCGAATGTTGGAAAATTGAAGTGTGAAAAAAGTCAATCCTCCTAGGGGTGCTGGTGGTTGAGTGGTACCGCTCTTGCCTTCGCAAGCGAGGTGTCACGGGTTCGATTCCCGGGCCGGTGGAAGTTGTTTGGACATACTTCCTAGCCCCCATTAGTCCCTGTTCACCTAGCAGTAAAGTAGGTACCTGTGTAAATCGAAAGTTGCGAATTCGTATTCAGGGACAAGTTGTTGGATCTTCCAATAACTTGATGACATAAACCACTGACTCTTCAGGCTTCTATACCCTTAACACATGAGACATAAAGGCAAGCATGAACTTAGCATGCTTCCCTGTTGGGCACTGTAAACGCTTCTGCACTTCACCTTACACAAGGATGTTGGGGAGTGCCCAATAAATAATAATATAAAAAAAGCCAATCCTCCAGCAACCGCGGTGACGTCAGTTGAAGCCCAAGTAGTTTGATGATAATCAGATCGGCCGTGGAGTCCACAACTTTCCCGACCAGTGTGACCCATCCAAGAAGGCCCTGCTTCAATATTAATATCAATTGACATAGGAGAATAAAATAGAATGAATAGAACAGATCAAGAGTGAGTATGGTTATATTTGTTGTGTTGTCGATAGTAAGAGAAACAATTGAGACCCTGCAATTGTGTATAAATGAGGCAGAAAGACAGATCAGCAACCTGGGACTTGGTCACAATTTTCGTGATGCCCAGTGACCTGGGCACAGGTCACTGATCCACATCGGGACCTTGGGGGCGAAAATGTAATAATAATAATAATAATAATAATAATAATAATAATAATAATAATAATAATAATAATACAGTGGTCCCTCGGTTAACGGACACAATTCATTCCACAGAGTCGTTCATTAACCGAAAGTTTCGTTAACCGAATCCATTATTTCAATGGGATAGTGGGTTATTGGTTCCAGCTCACAGAAATATACATACAAAGTAAAGCCAAAAATGCATAAAGTCAGAAACACTCCTAAAATTCCCCTAAATTGCCCTTAAATCACCATATATTTATATATATACCTACATATACACTAGAACTCTTAAATCACTACTGTAATGTTATACAGGTGATTAATTTTTATCTCTTGTGCAAAATATATGACGTTTATATTCAAATTATTCACTGTCTTGCAAGGATTCCAGCAATGCAAATTATATTCTCCTAACTTTAGTCTGTGATATTATATAAGATAAAAACTTAAAGCCTACTGTATAACCACCAAACCTTTGCTGGGAGGGAGGGGGGGAGGGAGGGGTGACAGTGACATGTTTGACAGTAAGTGCCGAAGGTCTAGTGAAGTATTTATTTGTTTATTTATGTCCTTTAGATTGAGTTTTTGTTTTTTGCTTTTAAAATTTCATAGAAGTGACCGGGGAGAATATAATTTACATTGCTGGGATTCTTATAAGATAGTGTTTAATTTGAATGTAAACATGCAATAGTTTACACTAGACTAAAATTTTAGTATTCATTTTACACAAATATTAAAGAGCACAATTTTCTTGATATTTACTTCACTGGAAACGAATGTAAACATAGAACAGATTACTGAATTACTGACTTGGCAGACTAGCCCATCAGCTAATGCTCACAACAAAACGTCATGTTCGTAAGGATTTCGTTAATCAAATTTTTGTTTGTTAACCGAATTGAAGGTTCTTATGGAAGGTAATTCGTTAACCGAACCATTCGTTAATGGAGGGACCACTGTAATAATAATAAAGTACCATAAAGAAATACAAAATGAAAAAAGATCAATAGTGAGAAACAATATGTGTATGTTGTGTTGTCAATAGTAAGAGAAACAATTAAGACCCTGCAATTGTGTGTAAATGAGGCAGAAAGTCAGATCAGCAACCTGGGACTTGGTCACAATTTTCGTGATGCCATATGGCAGCAGGGTCTACCATTAGACAACACATTATGCTTCCAATATCTTCTCAGGCGGTAGTACCTCCCTGTTTGGTAGCTGGTAGCTGCCTACTATCTCCGGTATCAACATTTCTTACGTGTTATATACTGTATACAGTATTACCCCGCTTTACACGGTTTCACTTTCCATCACTTTCTGCGATTTCTCATTTCTCATTTACGCGGTACCTTGCCAGAACCGGACTTTCACTTTCCGCGGTGCATCTATTCATATACGCGGTGAAGGATAATTTTTTTTTTTTTATTTAGCTCATAAAATTCATACAAATTACCCGGCATCACCTGCCATTCCCCAGCATCACCTACCATTCCCCAGCATCACCCATCATTCCTCTGCGTCACCTACCATTCCCCTGCATCACCTGCC